ATATAGGCATTATTGTTCTTTTGCATCCATGCGATGAATTATCTTACGATAAACAATATTTTTTACTTCATATTTATTTAGTTTTTGTACATGTAGATTTGTCAATACATACAGAGAAACTAAACAATAATAATATTAATACTGAAAAAGATATTGCTACTATTGAAGAAGGCTTGAATGACTTCGATAAGAATAATGCATATAATGCAACTTCAACCGCAATAATAGATGAGGTCAAAGAAGGTATGTTTCTCAGAAATTAAAATATAAGATGAAAATGATAGATAAATTTTATTTTGTCCAAGAAAATAGTCCAAGAAAATAATATTACTGCTATAATAACAAATAAAGATGAAAATTTTACAGCTAACATTATTATTGAAGATTTACAAATAGATATTATTAGTTTTAATAAAACTTAAAATTGCTGCTATATTTATATCTCATTAAGCATAAAAACGTGAAACTTAAAATAAAAATAAAATATATTTTACTTTTCATGTAATTTTTATAAAATATTTATTTGACAAAATTATTTTTTAGATGGCTACATTAAAAATATTAGAAAGTGTTTTGGCAACTAGAAAAATGGTTGAACAGTAAAATGAGTTCTTAAAACAATTAGACTCTAGAATTAATATTAATGTTGCCTCAAACGCTGCTGCTACTGCTACTACAATAAATCCAATTACACAGAATACAATAAATATAATTCCTACAAAACCTTTTAATAAATATAACAAATTGTTAGAGTTTGACAAACTTGAAAACAAATGTATTAGGTGTACAAAAAAGTTCTGAGCTTTTTTTTGTAAAATTCAATCTTTATTCAAAAACAAACAAAAAAATATTAATCAGCGAAATATTCCCCGTTTGCATCGACTTTTTGCCATCTTTCGGGTAGCTTGCGAATTCCTTGACGATAGAAGCTCACCGGCTTCGAAGCGATAAAGTCAATGCATTTTCGTATCTCTTCAAATCTCACGAAATGTGTATCAGCCAAATGATGCTGCAGCGGAATAGGTAGTAAATCGGAAGGCGCCATGTCTGGGCTATACGCCGCGTGTGGGAGAAGTTCCCAGCCTAACGCAAAGATATGATCCTGAGTCGCTTTCGCATGTGGTCGAGCATTGTCATGAAGCAAGATCACTTTACGACGTCCTTGGCCAATAAATGGCCTCTTTTCTTCTAATGCATCGCTCAAATTGATCAATTGTTGTTGATAGCGGTCTGCCGTGATTGTTGTTGTTGTTTCACCCCGCCGTGATTGTAACAACTCGTAATACAACACACCTTTCCAATCCCACCAGATACAGAGCAAAACCTTCTTGGCGTGGATATTGGGCTTCGGCGTTGATGTCGAAGATTGACCAGGGTCAATCCATGATTTTCTACGTTTAGGATTATCATAAAGAATCCACTTTTCATCACCTATAATGATTTTCTACAGAAAATATTTTTTCCGGAACTTTGAAAGCAAAGTGAGTGCAGTGTCACGCCGACGATTTTTGTTGTTCGGACAATTTATGCGGAACCCATCTGCCTTCCTTCTGAATCTTTCCCATCGTATGTAAACGTACGGAAATGGTTTGCTGCGTAACGCCAAGTTCTGCAAGCTTCTTTTCAGTTTGCGCAGAGTTTATATCCAGCAGTGCTTGCAATTCGTCCGTTTCAATCTTTTGAGGGCGTCCAGCACGCGGTTCATCTTTAAGACTGAAATCTCCTTGACGAAATTTTTAATACCATCTTTTACATGTAGTATGACTTACAGTGTTCTCTCCATATGCAGCACAAATCATTGCAGTGGCTTCAGCAGCATTTTTCTTCAGATGAAACACAAAGTGGATGGAAAATCAAATGCTCTTTTGTTATTGTCGTGAACACTACTGATTTTTGAGGTTATATGCATCAAACGCCAAACCGTATGGCATTTTAGAAGGCCAAATGTCAACGCTTTAAAACCGCAAAAGGGTGGGAAGATATATAAAATTTAAATTGTTATTTCGGTTGTATGAAATCTAAAGCTCAGAATCTTTTTGTACACCTAATAGATACAAAAACATATGGAACGTGATATATAAACTTTATAGTAATGTATAGTATATGTATAGTATATGTTTGTCGAACGTTTTTCACAAACGATATAAATAAAACGTTTCATATGAATAGTAAATGCATGAGGATATATGTATATATGTATATTGATGTATATATATATGTATATGATATATGTGTATATATGTGTATCATTGTATTGTTGACGTGTTATTCTAAACACGTTGTTTGCGATAAATAATTATCACATGCCTCGGTAATCGAAAAGATAAGATGCCTGCCCGGTAAGCAGGAGATCCAGATTCGATTCCTGGCTGAGATGGTATTTTTTCGCAAAATAATTACGAGTTTTTACGACTGGTTCGTTGTCAGGCCGCCGTGACGCACACCCTCCCTTCTTATAGGTTATGGTGTTACATAAATGTCTCTGGAATGACGCAGAAGAGGTCGCACAGCTTAAATGTAATGTCATTGCTGTGTTGCTGGAACAAAATTTTAATAAGCGGAAAGGTTTCAAAAAATTTTAATAAGCGGAAAGGTTTCAAACAGTCCACAAACATTACAAATGGAACGATTCATATGAACAATAAATGCGTGAGGACATTTCTGGTTGTGGTGACATTATATAAAAATTTCTGGGACGAAAAAGTCGCACAGTTTAACTGTAACGTTACTGCTATGTTGCTGGAACAAAATTTTGTTTAGCGGGTATAATTATATATATATATATATATATATATACTTTAGT